CTATTTTTGTCTCGCATTTCTGCAAAAGTCATCCAGATACGCAGTACTGGGTTCTCAAAGAGGCTATCAGCATCTGCATTCAATTTGATCCCATCGAAAACTTCTGCTGCGGTCCATTGACGACTAAGCCAATAATGTATCAGGAGCTCTCTCACGTAATCGAGATCGTGATTAAAACCGTCATCGATCGGCCGCGAAGCAACTGCTCGTGCTAAATCCTCTTCTTTTTTTAATTTCTTTAGCAGCCCTTCAATAAAGTCTCCGCCATCCCATTCGTTTTGATATTCGTGTACAATGAAACCTCTCAGAGCTGTTAATTCCACCATATCGTTAATTTTGTCAGCTTCAATACCCTCCAGCACATCGTCAACTTTGCCTGTTTTAGCCTCCCCCACCATTTCACCAACTTTAACTCCATTGGCTTGAACACCCCCCAGCTCGTGGTTCAGATTAGCTGCGATGGCCTGCCTCAACATCTCATACACCTCTTCAGCCTCATAGCCTCGCATTCTCCAGCTTACGAGTCTTAACATTGACGCCACCGCTGAGGATGACCCACCTTCTGCAATATTTGCTGCTAACATCTTGTCCAGCGTATCATAGTCGTAGTGTTCCAGTAACTTGAGCAGCAAAAACTTGTGTCGAGGAACTGTGTCCTTTCCAAGAGCTGTACACAGAAGAAGCCACGTCTGCAATGCTGGACTTTTCAGAAAGTCGCTTTTTGTTGCATCGAGACGAAGTAGTGCGTAAAGTTTTTCTTCATCGATCTGCTTACCAGAACGAAGCCACTTGTTTACCAAAGTGTATAATAGATGGTTCGCCATATCATGCGTCGCTGGTGTCTTATGAGCTTGAGTGATAATAGTAGCCAGCTTTGCATCGTCTTTATAATGATTAATTAGTGTCGAAATCATAGCGGCCCCCGCTCGGTCATCTTCCCCGTACGCTTTTTCAACGACAGTAGCCCATTTCTCGAACGACGGGCTTTCAAGTAGCTTTGACGCACTCGCTTCGTTTTTGTAGCGCAAGAAAAGATCGTCGACAGCCGCCTGCTTGTTGGCTGCGAAGCGTACGTATAGAGACGGCGCAAGCGTTTTTACTAGCCATGAACTTGCAATACTGTGTACTAGATGGAGCTTTGAAAGCTTGTTTTTAATATATAAAAGAAAACTCACCACAGCCTTCCATATTCTTGAATTTGTGACCTTCAGTCGCATCGCTAAAAGTTTCCTTGCCATCTTCTTCCGTAGTTTTGATTTTTTGACCTTCTTCCGCATTAATGCAAGCGTTTTTTCCACGGACTTCCATTGTCTTGATTGTGTGATTTTCTTCCATATACTTGGCTGCGTAATCGTCTTCTGCAAATCAACAGGAAGCTCCGCCATTCTCTCCGCACGAAGAAAACGGACTTGATCCGTCATTGTCAGTAAAGGCAGATCCGATGGTTCATGCGCTTTAAGACTAGTTACACTCC